CTTCAGGACTTTGTTGCTCTGGTAATTGGCAATGGTAATAGCAATTCAACTGCATGGACTTCAAACATAAATATTTTTAATAAGACGATTTTTTGTTCTGAAAAGTGTCAAGAATAAGATGAAAAATTTTCAACTGAAAACGTTTTAGATTAGATGTCAACACACTACGGTGTTTCATTCACTGCGTCTCGGGCGAAGCCAAGAGGGGATGGGGGCCACTAGTCTTATACCATGTACATCCTGTATGTAACGTAAACATCATTTTATACCTTGTATCTGGCGATACGTATCTATTACGAAAGCCAATAAAGACATACTTCAACTTCATATTTTACTAGCACATATCTCTATGAAAAAAACGTGAATATTCTGTAGTAGTTTTGCTGATTATTGTCGTCTGTTGTTTTTACTGGCCAGATTACGGAACAGAGGGCCAGTAATTTTAAGGTAGTTGACTTACCAACCTAACGGTAACGTAGAGCACAACCCAAAATTACTTGCTGGTGATGATTGCGGAAAACACCCTTTGAGTACCGTGCCCTGCCCGTGTGAACACGGTACACGATACTCACGTATTCGGCAGTAGGTAGTCATTGTATACCCGCGTCCCGTGCACGACACAAGTTTCCACCAGAAGCCATTGTATACCCATGTCTAATGTACGAGGCACGGGACACAGGACACGGTTGATGGCCCCTATTCTCTGTGAGGATGAAGACCAGCAGCGCTCCAGTAGATTTTTCCCGAGACCTGAATGTATCGGGAGCCAACTGTTGTGCCGTGATACATACGGACTTGGCGACATAAATATTTATTGCAACTAATTGAAAGCTCGGGGCAATCTACATTTTTAATATATGAAAGTTAGTATAATAAGTTATTCATGAAAAATTTAATAATTGGCTGACAGTAACTCTAGTATGTCTTTGCTTTAGTTACAAAAAGCAAAGTGTACTCTGTGTACAGTCGTCACCGTTGTAGCGGCTGCAGTCGACAACCACACACAGAGAGACACACACGTATATACGTATGTATATGCCCGTAACCTTTTTGTATCATCCGCATCACGGCCCTTCATATTTGCTGGTGATACACAGCACTGTGATAGGTTACAATTTTTTTTATGGATAACTTATTATACAAACTTTTATATATTATAAGTGCAGAGTACCACGACCTTTCAATTAATTGCAATGGAAATTTGTCACCGAGTCCGTATGTATCACGGCATAACAATCTGCTCACGACACGTTTAGGTCTTGGAAAAAATCCGCTGGAGCGCTGCTGGTCTTCATTCTCACAGCGAATATACACTGCACTATTGAAAAAGCGAAGAGGATCTTCGCGTACCCCTACCACTATCGGCACTTTCCGTTGGAAAAGTTCCGAAGCCAATCAGAGCAAAGCTACAGCAGGAGTATAGGGGAAAACTTATTTCTCCTAGAATTCCTGTATACTAAGGCATGCTCGGACATTTAACAACAGGGCTCTCAAATATTTTAAATTATCAACACAAGCACATATCAACCAATGACCCAGGGCGCTTACAGGCCACTCTTTTATATAATTAATTATTAACTGATGACACAAGCGTCTAGCACCCAATGAGCCGAGAAGCTTACTGGCCATACTGATAATAATAACACAAGCACCTCTCACCTGATCACTCGAAGTGCTTATTAGCCACTCTATTACGTAATAAATTATTAATTTATATCACGAGCGGCTATCACCTAATGAACCAGGGCACTTACTGGACACTCTATTAAATAATTAATTATTAACTGATACTACAAGCACCTATCACCCGATAACCCAGGACAGTTACTGGCTACTCTATTGAATAATAAATTATGAATAAATAACACAAGCGCCTATCACTCAGTGACTTGGAGCGCTTACTGGCCACTCTGTTAAATAAATAATTATGAATAAATAACACAAGCGCCTACCACCCAATGAGCCAGGGCGCTTGCTGGCCACTTTGTTACATAATAAATTAGTAAGTAATAACATGAGCGCTTGGCACCTGATGAGCCAAGGCACTTACTGGCCACTCTAATAAATAATTAAATCTTAAATAATAATGCAGAAGACTATCACCCGATGACCCAGGGCGCTTACTGGCCTACTAGTCAATAAACTTATATTCAAACCAAGAAAAAAAATTGTATAATGGTAAGAATGGTTAGTAGACTGTTATTAGCTAGGCAAGCCGTAAGAGAAGGTGGAAGTAAACATTTTATCCCAAGTGAAGAAATGGTTCCTAATCTCAACGGTTTTAGACCGAAACTGTTACTATTATAACTAAAAACAAATTGGGACATGTATTTTTTTTTTTTTCGTCATTTTTTACTAAAAACCTCAGATAGTAAATTACGACAACGGTTTTGTAAGAAATATATTTATACAGTTTTCGTTTTATCACTTTATGTAATAGAAAAAAAAGTTTCCCATACGGTGGTTTTAGAATAAAAAATATTTTTTCTTTAATTTATTTATTCAATTTTTATTAATTATCAAGGTGGCCAGTAAGCGCCCCAAGTTATCGGGTGATAGTCGCTTGCGTTATTATTTAAGATTTAATAATTTATTAAAGAGGCAAGTAAGCGCCTCGGGTCATCGGGTGATAGGCGATTTTGTTATTATTCAACAGTTTATTATTTATTAGAGTGTCCAGTAAGCACCTCGCGTCATCGGGTGATAGGCGGTTACGTTATTATTTGACATTTCAATTATTTATTAGAGTGGCTAGCAAGCGCCCCGGGTCATTGGATGATAGGCGCTTGCGTTATTATTTAAGATTTAATAATTTATTAAAGAGGCAAGTAAGCGCCTCGGGTCATCGGGTGATAGGCGATTTTGTTATTATTCAACAGTTTATTATTTATTAGAGTGTCCAGTAAGCACCTCGCGTCATCGGGTGATAGGCGGTTACGTTATTATTTGACATTTCAATTATTTATTAGAGTGGCTAGCAAGCGCCCCGGGTCATTGGATGATAGGCGCTTGCGTTATTATTTAAGATTTAGTTATTTATTAGAGTGGCCAGTAAGCGCCCCGGCACATTAGGGGCTAGGCGCTTGTAGTATCAGTTAATAATTAATTATTTAAGGTAGGACCTCGGAGTACCGTACTAGTCAAATTACTCCGGGAGTTCGAGTTTGACTCCGGCAGCAGTGTCGATAATGCAAACGACGTGTGTACCCGCATCAGTGCGTAAACACGTACGTCTGCTAATGTGACAGAGTAGTTATTTTTGAGTAGTAATTTTACTGATCGTTATTTTTGTCAGTAAAGTATTTTTGAAATAGGGGTAAGTGTACCTATCTCCATGGCACGTACTGAAAATTCCAACTTAAATGCACCATAAAAAATGGTATACTAAAATTTTTTGGAATA